CCTTTTTTTAGTTTATTAATTTTGTTTAGATTCGCGGAAATATGTTTGTTGTGTTTTTTTTTCGAGTTTTTCTCGCGGCGCCGCGCGAGAACACCATCTCCACCACCACCACGAGTCCACCAAAGAGCGAGCAGGAGTATGAGGTGGTGGTGCTTCGGACCAATTTTGAATGGAGGCTGGCTGCTGTTGCCGGGTCGGGCGCGCAGACCACAGCGGCGACCGGCATAATTACGGGGGTCACGGCCATCGCCGTGATACTACGTGCCCGTCCACTGTACGCCTACCGCCGTGAGCCTCTGTCTGTGTGTGTGTTTGGGTGTTAGTGAGCGTGTGTGTGTTGTGGGCGAAACACATTTCGTGATATATTGATCACGGGTTTGGCAGCACAATCAACTCTTCTTCTTTTTCCTCGCCCCGCGCGCGCCTTTGCGCTTCCGCGCCGCCAAGCCGCGCCGTCCTCCCCCGCAAGCGGACTTGTTGTTTTCGTTTGGTGTATACGACAAACTAGACTGGTTCTTCTTCTTCTCTCGCCTCGTGGTCGGTCGGTGAGGCAGGCGGGGCGGCGCGGGGCGCGGGGGGGGGGGGGGCACCGCCGCGGCGCTGACACGCTTCCTGGCACAGCTACCGCCGGCTAACAGCCCCGGCGACCCTCCGCGGCCGCGCGGGGGGCGGCGCGGCACAGCGGGTCGCATCCACCGCGCCATCCGTCTCGGGCCGCGGCCGGGCCGGGCCAGGCCCCCCTCCGGCGGCTACCTTAATTTAAGGTAAACACTTGTGGAATGGCTAAAAGTCCAGCTCCTTCCTCTTCCGTTTAAAACGGAACGGAAGCGCGCCTCTCTGTGAAAGCGCCGCGGAGCCTCTATCGTGCCGCTCATAGAGATAAATTGCGGCGCATTTAGTATCATTGCGTTTCTTTATCCCCGCTGCGTGTGAATGATAGGAATAAACTGTTCTGGGGATCCTCCCGCTGCTCCGCCCTGCTGCTCCTCGTGCTCGTGGCGAAGCCTTTCTGGCCGGACTCGGGATGCAGTCATGGGCGGGGCGATCAAGGGCGACCAGAGTCTCCAGGGTGGGGAACAGAGTGCTCTGGCCTGGCGCCGTGCCTCCACCCTCCGTGAGACAGCAGCGAGCCCTCCAGGCCGGGGAGGGGCGGGGCGGGGCGGCCGCACCGGGATAGGAAGCCCGGGAGAATAGTAGAGGCGTCGTCGTGACACTTGAGCGTGGGAAAGATCACCGCCATAGCGCTCCCCTCGGCCCGCCGGGCCCCGCCGCGCCCCGCCCCGTCCGGATGGACCCCGGAGGCTGGGCCGAGTCTGTGCGTCCAACAGGTGGCGGTGCGGGAAGCGGCGGAAGTGCCGCGCTAAAAAAGACTTTACTGCCGACCCGCACCTCACCACCTCACTCTGTTGCGGTGCGGACGAGTTCAAATTACATTAGAAGAAAGGAATCGCAAGGTGTTTTTGTCTGTGCTTTTTGTTTTCGTTTTTTGAACGCTTTGCTATTACACGTGCAGAAAAAAATAAATAATTTGACACTACTGTGCGCTGCGCCACGCTGTGCGCACTAGACGCGGACGCGGCGCCGGCCGCGGCGTGGCGTGGCGCGGGGGTGCTGGGCCGTGGGAAGCCGACTGCCTGGAGATGAGTCGCCCTTTTCTGGAATGTGATAACTCGATCTCCAGTTCTACATTTCGGGACGTGTAATTGTGCTTCCGCCAGAACTGCGAGTCACTTTGCGTCGGCCGACCGACCGGTGGTGCGGCGGTGGCGGGCGGGGCGTGTACGTAGCGCGTTGGGCGGGCAGCTGGGGCGACGTCGGCCGTCGGCACCGGCCGTCAGCTGGGCGTCTGCCGGACGTCGGCCGGCCGTCAGACCAGGTGGAGGTGCGCGACGAGCTACTTCGCGAGCCCATTTGCTCATCGGGCGCGGCGCGGCACGGCGCCCGCTGACGGGCCCCTTTGGCGCCCCAAACGAGGCCTGATTTGCATAATCCCGTGTGTGGATACTTTACAGCCGCTGACACGAGCCGGGCGGAGCCGGGTGGGACGACATTACGCGTCAATTTAGTGCGATAACGCGAGCCTGTGTGTGAGTGTCGGCCCCACACTGCCAACGTTCTCACCAAGATTATAATATCGACGGAGGTTTTTTTTCTTGATTTTTTTCGGGCTCTGGCTGAATGGGAATTTGGCAAACGGGATGTTCTATGTGACCGTAGCAGCTCCGAAAGTTAACGTCTCTCCTGTCCTTTCTTTCAACCTGTCGTTGTGTCGTTGTTTGAATTCGGCACAGTTGGTGTGAGTTAATCAAAACACACTTTTCGGTCCAAAGTGATTTAAGATTTTTTTAAGCGCCATTCTGTGGGTCATCTTCTATAGAACGGTATACCGTTGCTCTCACCACAGGTGCCGCTCATGGCTCGTTTGATAAGTTTGAACCCTTCTCCCCCCTCCCTCTCCTCCCCGCCCCTTTTTTTTTACGACGGGAGCGTTCCAGTTTGAGTTGTACTATTGCAGGGCGAGAGGTGTTAGCCCCGCTTTTCACTTATGAGCCTCCTGGAGTGTCATTTATGGCCGGAGTGCTAATTGCTCGCTACCATCCCCGCGGCGCTGCGCTGCCCATGACACGGGAGGATGCGTGGCGTGCCGCTCGACGCTCATGTCGCCCCGCAACACACGCGCGGGTTGGCGGAAAACAGTCTTCACTCTGCGTTTGTCCAGGAGGTCAGCCCTTGAGCCTCACCGTAAACGCCGTGTGGCCGCCTTTGCTTGGCAACTTTTTGACATTATTCCGTTTTGCGTGCCAACACTGATATCGTAAAAGGAACTGCTTTCTGTGACGTGCCGAGGATATAGCACCTTCGTAATGCAAAGAAATACTTTGTATTGGGAATGGATCGGCTTTGTAATACGAAAGAGCACGTGTCAGAGAGAAAGAAATGGGGGGGGGGGGCAAAGAACAAGAAGTCAGTGGTGTAATACAAATGTAAGACCTCGCACCTTTTCAAAGGTGTGAAGGGAATTATTCCGACCATCCTGCCTTTCTAAAGACATTAATGCTATAAAACATTTAAATGGGGTGGAGTCACACCTTTTGTTCCAACGATACAGTGTGGCTGTGACCACTGTGACGAAGTTTTACGATAGCGTGCGTAATAGAGAGAGAGAGGGGGTAAAAGTTTGAATGTGTGTGTGTGCTAGAGGCAGACAGAGAGTGTGCAAACCCGTGCAGAAATGACGTAGCGGAGTGATAAATCACAAAGAGCCCCCCCTTGGCGACCCATCCCTGTAAGGTGGTGTTGGTGGTGGTGGAAGCACCTTGTGCCGGGCACCGAGGTGAGGGAGTCAGAAAGGGGGAGCCATGATTTGTACCCCCACCCCCCTCCCTCCGCCTCTCAATTGGACCGGCGCGATGCCGCATGGACCGGTGGGACCAGCTCTCCAACAGCCCTCTAGCAGCCCTCCAACAGCTCTCCAGCGGCTCTCCAGCACCACACGCGGGCTAGGGGGGCTAGCCGCTATGCGTAATGGCGCTGCTCACATTGACATGAAGCGCGCAATGATTCCCACCCGTGGCCCTTGTTTATACTTCTGTTGATGATCGCGCTCGGTGTGTATGTGAGAGAGAGAGAGAGAGAGAGAGAGAGAGAGAGAGAGAGAGAGAGAGAGAGAGAGAGAGAGAGAGAGAGAGAAGAGGCGCGCAACGGCAGTCAGTCAAGCAGAGCCGACTGGCACCTGTGTTGCAGCAACCGCACGCACACAGCCGACCCGTGGACGGGTCACGCCGCGCGTCAGCCCCGTGCGCCACCGAGCATTGTCGAACCGATACGGAGAGTGGGAGAGAGATGGAGAGCGCGTATGAGAGAGACAGACAGACAGAGTCAGGCCTGTGTGATTGTTCGTGCGTCTGCAGGCATTCTCCTCCTCCTGCGCACTATAAGGTGTTTTTTTGTGTTATTTTTTTTTAGAGAGGTGTGAAAATAATATCCTGAGGGAACTAGGTTGCACGATCCGAGCCAATCAAACTCGCTCAACGCCCTGTCCCTCTTGCAGCTCACTGTCTCGCTCATGTCCTGCCGTTGCTGCCTGAGGCCAGGCTCATCTCATTCATGGTAATGATCGGAATTCCGACTCGGCAAAAGAAGAATGTATTCACCGAGCCCTCCTGATGACTTGTCAACCGTCGCGCACTGGTATGTGCAGGCATCTTTCGACATTAATTTCAGACTTTTCTTTTTCTGTCCTGTTTCAGATGAACCAGCAGTGCAAGGTGTGCGGAGAGCCGGCTGCTGGTTTTCACTTCGGCGCCTTTACCTGCGAGGGGTGCAAGGTAAGACCCCCTGGCTCCTCATCGTGACGCGATGCTCGCGGAGACAGACACCCGCTAGGCAGACGCCATAACAGTCCTTTTGTTTTGTTTTTGTTTCGCTCGCCGGCGCGCAGGTCAAATTGCCTGTCACCCGTTCCTCTCATTTGCTTCTGGTAATAAAATGCAAATGGATTGCCGCCCCTGATTGATGTGTTACCGGGAAGCATTACGGATGGGATAAATTATAGACGGATGAGGAGGTGATCCTGAGCACACCCCGAGCCACGCTGCGCCAAGCCACGACGCGCAACTCCGCGCCACGACGCGCCACGCGTCTAGGTGAGAGGTTGCCTACTGCAGCCCGTTAGAGTTAGAGCCAAGGCAGACGACACCGAGCTCTTGATGTGCTGCCAAGGCGTCCCCGACGTGATGCACAAGAGGGGTGTGTGCGTTGTATGTCCATGGCAGCGGGAGTTTTTCAATCAAACTGAAAAGTGGACGCAATTGTTGGGAGTACACCTGTGTTCCTTTCTTGTGCGCGAACTCTTCACCCTACGACGAGTCACGGGGCAAAACGACAACGGCTCTCGTCGCGCTAAAATGATCGGTAGTTAAGGGTGCGCCCGTAATCAAAGTCATAAAGATCGTAATAATGGGTGTTTTGTCGGCAGTGTTTCACAGCGGCTGACAGCGGGTAGGGCGGCCCTCGTACGAGTTGCTGCTGCTGCTACTGCAGCTAAAAGGACCGGAGCTTCAGTTGTTTTCAGTATTTTTTTGTAAACGTCGGCCTGGAGGTAAATGTTTTGCGCCATCATAGTTTTCTCTACTTAAAGGTGTTTTTTT